GACTCTCAACCACTGCGCCACCAGGGAAGCCCTTATTTTTAGTTTTTTAAGGAACCTCCATACTGTTCTCCATAGTGGCTGTACCAATTTACATTCCCACCAACAGTGCAGGAGGGTTCCCTTTTCTCCACACCCTCTCCAGCATTCATTGTTTGTAGATTTTTTGATGATGGCCATTCCGACTGGTGTGAGGTGATAGCTCACTGTAGTTTTGATTTGCATTTCTCTAATAATGAGTGATGTTAAGCATCTTTTCATGTGCTTTTTGGCCATCTGTATGTCTTCTTTGGAGAAATGTCTATTTAGATCTTCTGCCCATTTTTTGATTGGGTTGTTTGTTTTTTTGATATTGAGCTGCGTGAGCTGTTTTTATATTTTGGAAATTAATCCCTTGTCAGTTGTTTCATTTGCAACTATTTTCTCCCATTCTGTAGGTTGTCTTTTCGTCTTGTTTATGGTTTCCTTTGCTGTGCAAAGGCTTCTAAGTTTAATTAGTTCCCATTTGTTTATTTTTATTTTCATTACTCTAGGAGGTGGATTAAAAAAGATCTTGCTGCAATTTATGTCAGAGAGTGTTCTGCCTATGTTTTCCTCTAAGGGTTTTATAGTATGCGGCCTTACATTTAGGTCTTTAATCTGTTTTGAGTTTATTTTTGTGTATAGTGTTAGGGAGTGTTCTAATTTTGAGACAGCAAGTAGGAAGAGGTCCTAGCTTTCTTGGAGACACTAAGCAGAAGCATTATAAACGCAGAAAACAGAGTCATTACTGTGGGCAGCTCAAAGTGAAATAGCCAATCAGGATGGACCATTAAGGCGAATTCACAAACTTTCCATTATGGGTGATGGAGCTATTCCCCTTTGTAGACCCAATGCCAGGCGTCTAAAACATCATCTGGTCTCTCTCATCTTAAAAATGTTTCTCTTGGGCTTCCCTGGTGGCGCAGTGGTTGAGAGTCCGCCTGCCGATGCAGGGGACACGGGTTTGTGACCCGGTCCGGGAAGATCCCACGTGCCGCAGAGCGGCTGGGCCCGTGAGCCATGGCCGCTGAGCCTGCGCGTCCGGAGCCTGTGCTCCGCAACGGGAGAGGCCACAACAGTGAGAGGCCCGCGTATCGCAAAGAAAAAAAAAATTTCTCTTGACTCCCCATTCCCCCTCCCGCTACTGCTACCATCACTCATCAAATTTCATGATGAGATGTCCACACTTATGTTTCCATTTCTTCTCTTCAATTCACACCAAAATGACGTTAATTAAGGTCATCAATGACCTTGTCCATAAATCATAAAACCAAAGAATATTTTTCAGCCTTTATTTTGCCGAGTCTCTTCTACATAGTTGGCTACTCCCTCCTTCTTGCCATAATCTTCTTGACAGCCATCTATATGACAACACACCTGTCTTCCACTTGTGTCTCCAGTCCTTCTTTATCTCCTTCACTGGCTTCTTTTCCATTGCATTCCCTTTAGGATGATGGTCCTCAGGACTCCATATTGGTCCCTCTACTTCCTCTGCATGCTCTTCCTGGGCAAGTTCATCCATTCCCATGACCTCAGTCTCCGATGCCTCCCAAATCTGTATCAATTACTCAGAGTGTTCTCTTGGCCTCCAGACTTCTATGTCCAATCTACTCAACCCCATGTCCTAAATCTCAAACTCAGTGTGGATCAGAGTGAAATCGTCTTTTCCACAAACGTCCTCTTCATCCTGTGTTCCCTCCTAGGGAGACGAGAGGCACTGCCAGCCATCCAGTGGCTCAAGCCCAAAACCTGGTCATCACTTTCGATGTGTTCTTCTTTTTCATGTCTTCGTCATTGAGTTCTGTCAGATCCATCTCCAAAATGTCTCCCTGTGCAACACACTGTCACAACCATGGTACAAGCCACTCTCCTTTGTCCTAGACAACTACAGTAGGCTTTGAATAGAACCTCCTATTCCTACTGCCAGAGGCAACATCCAAAATTGGAACATGCCACCCTCCGGCTTAAAACCTTTCCATGGTTTCGCATGCCCTCAGGGCCAAGTTCAAAGCCTTATCTTGGCATTCATGGCCCTGCTTGCCTAACACTTCAGTCTCATCTCTAGCCATGTCCAGCTGCTCTCTGCCCAGCTGCCCTGAATTACCTTCCCAGCATCTCAGACTCACCAGGCTCTCCTTTGCCTCTAGGATATTCCACATGCTGTTCCCTCTTCCTGGAACTCCCCTCTCCCACCTTCACTAGCTAATCTCTCAATTTCAAGTCCAGGCTAAAAGTCACTTGTTCCGTTGTCCCTGGGTCGGCTTCCGCATTCTGCATGATACTCCTCACAGGTCTAATTAAAGAAATTACAGTGGCTGTGAACTCTGTGAGGCCCAAAACATGTCTCCTGTTTTGCTCTGTAGCCTCAGGTTGAACTTGATTTCTGGCACATAGTAGGCCCTTCATAAATGGTTGTTGAATGAGTAAATAAACAAGCAGGAAGTGGATCAATGAAGCTGCGACCTCAAGGCTGATACACCTGGGGGGGGGGGCAGGGCTCCTGATACCCCAGACCCTCCATAAAGTCACCTGACACAGTTTCTACCAACAGTGATTTA